TGGTAACTCAGTCAGGAATGGGTGGAACTATTTCAAAAGGAAGTATAACATCAACATAAAATAAGTATAGCATCAAGTGATACAGAGGTCAAGGAAGGGAAGGATAGAGAGTGTTGGTTGAAGTTGGCAATGTGGAGTCCATAGGATGGGCTTTGGGAAAGCAGTTTCAGTAGAATGATAGAGACAGAAACCCATCTACAGTGGATTGAGGAGCATCTAGGAAGCACCGAGGGGCAGAGACCGAGTGTGGATTTGTCCTTATTAAGAAAGAAGAGAGAAATGACTGTGACAGGGGTTATAGTATCTGAGGAAATGTGCTTGTATGTGTTAATGATTAGATAAATTCTATCATCAGAGGATTTATAAAAGAAGGAAGGAGCTCTAGGAAGGCAGTCCAGGATCAAAAGACAGGACTGAGGGAATGGGGTCCAGGGCTGTTTCATAATGGTTTGAGCGATGGCACCATCATCAGAATGAAAGCTTTGCTGCCAATGAAAGCTGTGACTAAGTTGGATATTTGTGTTAAAAGTATCAATAATATCACTTTATAGTCATATCTTACACTGTGATTTATTTATCATTTGTGGAAATGGGCAACTGGTTTTCAGAGCCTTATAGATTAATTATTTTTAAATGAGAAAATATGATTTGGCTGTTAAAATAGGAGGTTCTTTTGTTTGATGACTTGGATGGACAAATGATCAGATAAGAGCTAAATGAGGATGGTTATTTTTAAATATTTGTTGGATTAATTTCAATGTGAAATACAGAAACATCTTGATAATTTCCTGCCGTCACATTATGCATTACAATTCAAAGAGCAACGTGCTAGTTGGCAATAGTTCCTTCAAAAGTCAAAAATTCTTCAGCTACTCATTCAGTCGAGACAGTTACAGAGCATCTGCTATGCCCCAGCAGGGTGTTGGGCATTGCAGATATGGCTGCAAAGAAGGCATCTTTGGTCTTTGTTCTGATGCTGCTCACAGTAGGGGCTGCAAGAAAGCAAACAGGCCTTTAAGTAGCATGATGAGTTCTAGAATGGGGGACATAGAGGGGCCTTAGGAGGATGCAGGAAAGCTACCTAATGGACACTAGTTATTGGAAGTGGCTGGAAGTGAAACGAATGGGTCAGGAAAGGCTTTTTTTTTTTTTTTTTTTAAATCAAGTGATGGGCATATAAGCAAAGATCTGAAGAATGGTGAGATTTCTGCAGAGAAAAGAAGCTGGGCTGGTGAGGAGGGGGTATGGGGACAAGAAGAGAGCTCCTGGCAGGTGGGGGAAACCTTAGCTTGGGAATGTGGGGAAGGCAGAATCATTCAATAGTTCTGACACTGTCAGTGCAGGAGGAAGAAGGAACAAATGTGTCAGGAGAGGAGTCAAGGGTCCTATAAGGAGTTTGGGCCTTATCTTAGACTGACAGGACGCTAAGCAGGGAAGCACAGATAAATTAGATTTACCTTTTATAAAGATTACTTTCTCTGGTTGGTGTGGAGGCAGGTTGAAATGGAACAAGAGTGGGGACAGAAAGACCAGGAGAGACACATGCTGGAGGCCTGATCTAAGGCAGTGACCCTGGCAAGAGAGAGAGGAAAACATGTGACAGACGAAAATAGAAGAATGGGGCTTATTGGTAAACTAGAGGCCCAATGTATGAAATTTATGAACAGATATGGTCCCTAAGCCTGGCTGGTGATCAGGGCTGATTGGGGCCTTCCAGCTGCTAGGCCAGGGCCTCTCTTCCTTCTGCACCACCCCTGGTGGTCAGTGCATGTCATAGTGAGCAATCAAACTCCTGGTCTCCCAGTAGAACTCCTGAGGGGACACTTTGCATATTAGCCTTTTATATATATAGATTAGTGGAGAGTGAAGAGGGCTGACACAGAGATTCCTGGTTAAGTGTCTGGCTGGTGTTGCCACTCAACAATCAAGGGAATGAGCTAAGAGAAGCAATTTTGATGAGGAGGAACCCTCTCTTTCTGGGCTTTTCTATCTCACAAAGGCAAGCCAAGGTCAGGTGACACACAGGTACTTTGGGCTGCATTTTAACTCATTGTTTGGACTCAATGGCCTCAGGGTGTAGACCCCTAAACATGCAGATGTTGCTTTCCATGAGTTTCAAGCAAAGCAAAAGAAAGATATTTACCAGTGAAACTTCAGAAAAGCAAGCACACACTATCTTGAACTGTGGTGCCCACAAGATAAGTCATAATAAACACTCTACTTTTAATCTAACAGACTTTCCATTCTCCACCTTTGCACACACAGGCATCTGCACACACAAATCAAAACCTTCTTAAGTCATGGAATAATTTTAAAAAATAACATAAAAGCAAACAAGAGTGCTTCCTGTGCGGTGAATGGAAATTTTTTGCCCATTTTATTTTGCAGGCACATGAAAAGTAGTTCTGAATATCTAAAACCTTAAGTTATTGTGTTTATAGTTGTGTAATTTTCTCCTCTTGAGAAAGAAATGTCACACCTAAATTTTGTTAGAAAATCTCTTGCGTTCAAATATTTTGGAACTTCGTCTAGGACCTAAAGGTACCCTTCTTCCATCAAAATATGAGGCCAGAGGTTTGGCTCGGTGGATAGAGCATCGGCTTGCAGACTGAAGGATCCCAGGTTCTTCTATTCCAGTCAAGGGCATGTACCTTGGTTGTGGGCACATCCCCAGTAAGGGGTGTGGGGTAGGCAGCTGATCGATGTTTTTTTCTCAATAATGTTTCTAACTCTCTACCCATCTCCCTTCCTCTCTGTAAAAAGTCAATAAAAAATATATATTTAAAAAAATATGAGGCAAAAAAAATCACGTTATCAGTCATTTCTGGCTAGATAAATGAAGACTAACATGAGAGTATACTATGGTAAGTAAGAGTGTGGAATTCAGAGTTTCCTTATCTGGAATTGACATGTGTGGTTCAATCACCTATCAACAGTGTGATTTGAGGCAAGTTACTTAATATCCATTTCCTCACCTTAGAAATGGAAATAATAATGGGATCTATCTTATAGCGGTGAGAACTAAATGAGATAATTGTGTGAGGCACGATGTCTGACACATAGCATGTGCTCAGTAAATGTTCATTCCTCCCTGTCCAACTCATTTCCCCCAGCATCACTACAGCTGAATGCAACTTTTATCAAATAAAGTAAAAACTCTCCACACTGTGCTTAGTTCCAGAGGTAGGCCACAAAAAGGTTAGAAAAAGTCAATTATTCTTCTGCCTGTGTTTTTGCTGGAAAAAGACTCCAATGCAATGACAATGCCTCTGGAGGCATTTCCTCTTGATGCTGTCTTGATGCAGTGGAAGGGAGAAGAGGAAATCAGGGTAGCAGGTCCTAAGGGGTCCTGGGGGTCCAGTCTTTACTGTTCAGACTAGCTCAGTCTCTCCAAAAGCTTCTTTCACACCCACTACTGAGGCCTATGAGCCCTAAAAATAGTGCCTGGGAAAACAGCAGCAGCTGAGGGAAATCACTGCAGAATCAGCCCCCTACTTGCCCTTTGGAACCCCTTGGCTCTGGTCCAGCCTCCTAATTACTCTTCTGTAGTAATGAGGGCTAGAACCCCAAACCTGGCTTCTACTTAAAAGTCTGGACATTTCAGACTGACACCTTGGCTGCCCTGCCCAATGGATTCCAACTTTACCTGGATGTCACCTCTGCAGGCTAAGAGTTGGTTCTGCCCTGTCACTTCTCAGAAACCCAGCATGGATTCAACCTCCAGAAGCTGGTCTAGCCCCCTGGATGGTATTCTCAGAAGCTTTGGCATTAGTGGTTAATGGTTCCACCCTCTTGGTTAAGACTGAGGACTCTGGAGTCAGTGGCTCATCTCCTCCCAGCCCTGTTACTTACTAATCATACAGGGTAGGCCAGGTACTTGACAGTCTTGTGCCCCAGTTTTCCTTATCTGTAAAATGGGTGATTAGTAGTTCCCATTTCATAAGATTGTTACGAGGATTACATAGATTAATAGATGCATAAAGCATAATATAAATATACACATCTAATTCACTGAAATACTTGTGAGACAATGTAAAAAATATTAGCTATATTTATATTATATTTTATGCATGTTAAATATATTATATACAACTTTGTATTTAATTTTATACATGTTTTGTATTAACATGTATTCTTTCACAAAAAACCATTTGTGCACATGCAAATATTATTATTTATATTATTATTACTGTTGTTATTGGTTATTCTATCTCTTTACAAGGATAGATAAAACATGGGTAGGCTTTTCCATTTTCTTGCTTTTATCTGAGGTTATACATGTAGAATCCTGGTTTCCATAAACTCCTTTGTAACATGCAGAGCAGGGCGTATGTTGGATTAAAATTGACTCCATCCTTTGGAAAATGATCATTAACAATGAATGGCATGTAAATATTATTTCTCAGCTTACTATGTTACTCTTCTTTCAGATATCTTCATTTCCATTTCTGTAATATCATTTATTTCTTGTCTTATTTCAAAGGCTTTCCATCTCTCAGGCAAATGGAAGACAGAAATGTGCCAAAATATGTTATTCATCATGTGTCTGTTTTTAGATTCTGGTATCCCAATATCTATTTTTCAGAAAAGTAGGGTAGTTCTGAAAAGAATAGGCATTGTCTCTTTCACTTGTTTTACTGGAACCAGAGTGACGGTAGACTTTTCCTGTGTCCTCAAAATCATTGACAATCCACGAGTTATGCTTACCCCCCTAGTAGCAATAATACCACTGCCATGAATTAAAAGTCACATCCTTGTCTAGGGAAGTGGGTGGGAGTGGGGTGGAGGGGTCATTGGACAAAAGGGGGGCATTTTAGTACTTTCAACAATAAAGATACATTTAAAAAAAAGTCACATCCTTGCCTTGAGGGTAAGTGTGACACTGCATCAACCCCCACAAAGCCACTTCCTTTCCAGCAAGTAGAAAACATCTAGGAACATGAATTTTGCTGTTATTTTTTCAGCTCTGTAGAAGAGGATTTTATCTGTTCTTGCCAAAGATGAAGTTGGACCTTTGGTATTTCTTTCTCTTCTACTTCCAAGTTGAAGTTCTAACAGGTAAGTGGTCTATTGAATATTTCTTAGGTTATAACTTTAATAAGTGACAGTAAGAAAAATCAAAGGTAGAAAATTTACCCATCAAATAGAAAAAAAATTTTTTTGAAAGTAAGAACAATTGCAGAAGGGCCCATGTACATGGATAATTAAGGGTATTTATCACTCATATTACTGTTAATGGCATTGAGTTTGTACTGCTTCCTTTGATATTATGTTTTAAGATAAAGAAAAAGTTTTCATCAGTCCATTAAAGTTTTTAATTACCTGTTTGGAGTTACCTTTTAGTGGATAAAGTAGAAGAGTGGCCTACTGTTCTCCGAGGAAGATGAAAGGCAGAATGACTTGTATCAATGGAATCAAAATGAAAAGTCCTGATATTGGGCTGGGAATTATTTCTGAAGGAGAAAATGAAATGGAAGGACTTTGAAAATAAGGATTTTTGTTTTAATCTTATCTGGGTGGTCTATTATCAGAAATGCCCAGGCCTCCACAGAGTTTTCTCAACACCAAGTGTGAGAGACCCTCTAAAAGGCCAAGGAGTAGTGGATGATGTAAACACACACCCCAGCCCTTGTAGACATTAAAAAAGTAATAGTTCTGAAGTTCTCATTCTTTCTCTCAGGTGGCATATGTCAGACTATATTTAAACAATTTAAATAATACTATCTACAACTGAACTAATATATGTGTTCCTACTGCTTCTTACTCTGTACGTTTTATTTAGTATTACATTTATTTTATCTTTAACTCTGAGCCATGTGTTTGAGGCTGGGAAAAGAAAAGTGAAATTATATTAAGTTGGGGAATTCTATTAATACTAAAAGTGAAATCACCTCTTTTAGTAGGTATAACCTCATCTAGAAATAATAAATTGTTTTAGTGGTACAAAGAAATAGACTAATTAAAACACACACACACACACACACACACACACACACACACACACCACACACTCAAAAGTAAATTTGTCAAAATGTTTGACTTTCAGTGGCTCAAGGTGGCTGGAATGCTCTTGTAAAGAGGAACAAGGAATGAGGAAATAGAATCTACTTATAAATCCCAAGGGCAGTTTGCGACAACTTGCTTATCTAACTACGGTTTTTCTACAACCCAGTGGAATCATTTAGTGACATAAACAACAAACAAATAGCTTCAGAATTAAATGTATTTATTCATTCACTCACTTATCAATTTATTCATATTGTACCAAGCACTTGCTATTCAGGAGGTACTATGCTAGCTGCTGTACATACAATGATGAGCAAAACTAGGTTCTTGATTTCATGAAGCTAAATAAATGGTTGGGAGAAAGGGACTAATCATATAATCCCATGAACTAATGATAATTACAGGTAGAACTCAGTTCTATCAAAGAATATAATAAAGAAGCCCATCTAGATTGGGTGGGTGTAGAAGTGGTATTGGGGAGCATGGTTCATTGACGTCTTTTGTATGAAGTGGTACTTAAACTGATATGTGAAGGACAAGTAGGAGTAAATGGGGAGAATGGTGTGAGGGTTGGGAGGAACATTCCATACTAGGAGGAGAGTAAGTGCTACAGACCAATGGCAGGAAGGAATAAGGTAAGGCCATGGAACCGGAAGAAGGCAATGTGCCTGAGTACGGAGAAGGGAGGCGTGTGGGATGATGCAAGATGAGGTTGGGAAGGGAAGCAGAATCCCAACATGGCTATATATAGAAAGAACTACCTCACACATTTTAGGTCTATAAAATTTTGCAAGACCTTTCCCACACTGAACATTAAAAACAAATAAATAAAAGACAGAAACAAATTTAAAAAAATTTAAAGCCAAACAGGAAAATAAGTCAAAACTGTTTTTGTCCTTAGGCAAGGCTGTGGGAGTCTTGAAATAACTTGTTACTTTTTGACAAAATATTATTTTTATGATTTTTTTTTTCTGTTGGAACACTAAATTCTTTTGTGCATATGTGCATATAATACAAAGAGAAGGCTTCTACCTCCTGGAGTTACCTTCATATGCTGTGCTGATTTTTTTTTTTTTTAGTTCAATGTGGAGCCTTAAAACTTGAATGTCCCTTCTAATTTTTATATCAAAAATAAAAAGAGTGGGGGGCAATGGAAAGATATGTACACATATAATACCTTAATAAAAATAATTAAAAAATAATAAAAAAATTAAATTAAAAAAAAGAGGAAGACAGACTCAAGAGTTTTGATTCTGTCAACCACCAGATCTGATAGAATCTTTTGTTTGAGCCAATTTGACATAGACGTGGGACTTTCAATAATCCATTAAAGAGCATTTAAATATAACTTTTTTGAATTTAGCAGACAACTTTATATTCTCCTTGGGCTCAGCACTAAAAAAAGTCCATCCATGAAAGACTCAACAATGCCACCATCACCAACATCTCTATTGCCCTCACGATTAAAACTTTTTTCATTTTGTACTATATAGGTCAAAGCAAAAATCTCATAGTAGTATCTGTTTGCACTTATTTAAATATGATGATAGTTTCTTGTATATGTGAATTCATATTTTTACATTTCTACAGGCAGGTGACAGAATAATCATTATGAATTTAAACCCTGTTAGAGCAAAGATCCAGAAGTCTTCGCAGGATCAATGTATTAAGCATATATAATTTCATATCTAAGAAATTACAATCACAACATACATGTGACACCAATATGACTACTTTAAGTGTTTGGGACAATTATATACCCAATATATCCTGAAGGAAAATAAATATCTGAAAATACCTTCTAAATCTAGCCTAATGCACTAAGTCAGTGGTCAGCAAACTCATTAGTCAACAGAGCCAAATATCAACAATACAACGATTGAAATTTCTTTTGAGAGCCCAAAACCAACTTCTGCGCATGGGCCACGAAGTTGCAATTTCACTGTATGTGCGCGCCCGCACGTGTTATTTTGTGGAAGAGCCACACTCAAGGGGCTAAAGAGCTGCATGTGGTCCGAGAGTCGCGGTTTGCCGACCACTGCACTAAGGCTCTTTAAGAGTGTGGACTCGGGTTCCCTATTATTTAGTCCAAATTATGGCTTTACCATATATTGGCTCTATAACCGTGGGCCAGTTATTTAAAACCGCAGTTTCTTCATCTGTAAAACAAGGATACAAATAGACAATCTGACTGAAAAGGCTGTTATGAACAACAAACACGTGCAATGCATTTAACACAGTACTCGATACATAAGAAGCACTCCGTGCTTGCAAGTTATTGCTGTTATTTTTGGAAGCTTTTGAAAGCTTATATATTTATATAACTTCTAGACCTACTGAGCCTCAGAGAATTGGTTTGGAATCATTCAGTACTGAAACCAGAAAGGCCTGTGTTCGTGCTACCTGTCACTAACAGAACCAATAAGTAGCGACAAGGCTTGAATCTTTATGATATTTTATTCAGGTGGACAGGGATCTGAGAAGATGGCATGTTCTACACCCTCAATACTGTCTCCCAGCTCATCTCAAGCTGGCCCTTTTTATGAGAAGAAAAGAGTAGGTAAAGGATTTGGGATTCAGGAAAACAATTGGTAAGGGGTTTGGGATTCAGGGAAAATGGTTACTCAGATAAGAGCTGCAATCTGGTGGTTTTCCGGGCATCCCTTCCTCTGATAGCTGGTGATTCTTCATCTGTGTCCTGGGGGGGGGGGGGGGTGATGCCTCTCCCTGGAGCACATGACTCAGATATCGTCTTGGTCCCTTTTGGTCCCTTGCAGTCTTCCTGGGGCACAGAGGTCGAATTGCTGGCAGGCCTCCCGAAGTCAGGTCAGGTCCAGTCATACATTCCAGTCCCTGGAACAATAGCTTTCTACATGCATTGATTACCAGGCCCAGTAACTATATAACAAGCTAAGATTTTTAAAATCTTGAGTTTCCCATCATTATGAGTCTTTGTCTTTGGACTGGGAAACCAGTGTCCTCTGATGGTAAATAGGTTCTCTTGCTCTGCCTTTCTTGCTCTGCTCAGCCTGTTGCAGGACAGTTGCCACCATGCTTATCCTCTATATTTTTCTATATATTTATTCATTTAATATTATTGAGCTTCTAATATGTTCCAGGTCCTGGCATTATTTTGGGGACCATGATGCCGTCCTTATTCTTTTATTAAAAATATATTTGCATTGATTTCAGAGAAGAAGGGAGAGGGAGGGAGAGAGAGAGATAGAGATAGAAATATCCATGATTGAGGTTGCCTCCTGCACGCCCCTACTGGGGATCAAGCAAGCCTGAATTCCCTGACAGGGAATCAAATAGTGACCTCCTGGTTCATAGATTGACCCTCAACCACTGAGCCACCCTAGCAGGGCAGCAGTTCTTATTCTTGTGAAGCTCATGGTTAAATGAGAAAGATGGGCAAAAATAATTATGCTCCAAACATATATGAATTACAAATATACTGGTGTAAACAAAATACTATTGAGAGAATAGAAATAGGAGGGTTTCCCCCCCCCTCCTGTTTTTTGTCTTTTTTTGTGTGGGAAGGGACAAATTCAAAATGATTCTTAAAGAATGAATGAGGGTTTCTCTAGGCAGATAAAGGGGTAATAGGATATCCTAGTTTATGGAAATGAAAGTAACAATGTAAAAAGAATGGCCAAAATTTTTGGTATGGCTTAAATATACTGTCTGAGATGGTCAAAGAATTTTGTGTCATGGCAAAAAATTTTGACTATTTTTACCTCGTAAGCAACAATGCAATAGGACCTTTTAAGCTGGAGAGTGAAATGCTTTTTGGAAATACAATTTTGGGAGCAACCTGGAGAAGAGACTCAAGAGGAGAGAGACTGCTATTGAGAAAGACAGTCAAGAAAATGCTTTCACAGACGAGGGAAGACATTGAAAGACCTAGATTGGCAATGGGAGGGGAGGTAAACAATGGGATTCAAAAGACATCCTTGAGCTGTGGTGATCAATTGGATTAGGAGAGTCAGAGGAGGAGGAATAGGACGACTCTGAGTTTCTGAGAGTCCGACAAGTGACTCCCTCAAAGC